GGGGCTAGAGTGAGGAACGGCCGGAGGGCTAGAGTGAGCGGTGGCCGGCGGCGGCGGGCGGGCTAGAGTGAGCAGAGGTGGCGGGCTTGAGAACGGCGCATCCGGCGGATTCGACGAAGGAGCGTCCAGCGGACTTGCGGCAACCACATGTGATGACCCCGGGCTGGACTCCGCTTCGTCCACGGTGAAAGCCGATCCGGCGATCCACAGCGCAAAGTTGATGTATTTCCTCAGCGACCAGCACGGATCAGCTCCAGGCATGACGAAGCAGATATCGTCCTCTTTTGGAAGACCAAACAAAGTAGTTTCGCTTTCACAACGAAACACACAGCGCCTTCACGACATGGCGGCGGCAACAACAATACTACAGCGAGAATAAAAGTTACGCCTTCTTTCTTTGCGTGAACATTTGGGCGGCGTTATGCAAATCTTCTCACATCGTGACGTAGACATGTGGGGGCGTGTTAGAACGAGCTGTTTTAGGTAGGCGTGGCTGACTCTTAACTTTTATAAAGAATATCTCTTTGGATTTGAGACTTTAGTCTTTGCAACTTTACAGATCTTCTTTATGCACCAAGAGCTTTTAACACTCCAAAGAGAAAGGAAAAATTGAAATCGCATCATATGACCCCTTTAATGAAATGAACCTTATTGGAAATTGTTTACATATATGATACCAGTCTGCAATGAATATGTAGAGTCATGACACATCCAGCTGACTGAATGGCTTCCTTATAAATCTTTAACAGTTTTATTATTATTATTATTATTGCTTTGATTACCAGCTGCTTCCTCTCAGTGTATAATTAATGAAGACGTTATTCTCAGGGAAGGGTTGAAAGCACTAGTTTTCATTAATGTTTCATACCACTGATTTTACAAAGCAGTCTAATCACCTAGCAAACAGTTAATTGCTCTTTTATATGTGTGTGGGTTGTGTGTTTGAGTGAAAGAGAGAGTAACGGGGTTTCTCAGGGTCAGCAGCTGTTAGGGAAGGGTGCCGCAAAAACCATCAGCATGTTTATATGAAATGAAGAGGGACATGTTAGGCCGTCCTTCTCTGACTCTTTCAAAAGCACCGTGCTGGATGAGGCTTTTGGCTTAAATTTGATGGTAACCTTGGGTGGAAATAAACTAGAATGGACTGGATAATTAAGTGGGATGTGTGATGTCAGGGTTCTGCTTTGCTTGACATTTTTCGCTTTTCTTTGATATTCAGAGTCAGACTCTTAAAAAAAGGTTTCAATTAGCCTGATGCCTTTTGAGAACCTTTTTACAGAATTTAACAATTTTTTATTTTTTTATTCTGCTTTCTAAAAACCAGGCAGCTGTAAAATATATTACAACATATATGTAATATTTCATTAACTGATATAATGTTAATACACCAACTGAAGTACTAAAATCTTTTTTCTGCCTTTTCTGCCATAACATTCTGTTTTGTGCCTTTATAATATATAAGCCATGTAATCTAAGCTCATCACAAGTAGCTGTGGAAAATAGCCTACTAATATATAGAAAGAGAACACAAGATGACTTGTTCTTTTTCACTTCCAAAAACATAATTTTTACATTATTGTTAACATAAATGAAGCATTATTTTACTGTATAATTACATGAAATGTCACATTAGATGTATTATTTTCACCAAGTAAGCTTACTGTTAACTATTTAATAACTTTATCATATAATTTTTGCAGTCTTTTACCATTAAAATGATTATTTTTTATTTTTATTTTACTTTTATTTATTTTTACAGTGGTAAATCATGAGAATTATTTGTCAATTTTATTTATTGACAGCCATAGTTTTATGGTATCTAAATAAATGAATTTAGTGGTGAGTAACAATAAAAATAGAATGTAATAGGAAGTAAATATTTTCCACATTCAGACACATCTGTAATATTTAATGAACCATTATTAATATATTAATACATGTACTAATAATTTATATATTAATAATTTAATAATGTTTTTGAGGCACTTATGGAGAACCCTATTTAAAGAACCCTATTTTTAACAGTGGTACTTACTAACAACTGAAAAAAATGCTGTTATATACTGGATAAAATCTTGAGTTCTAAAATTTTGCAGCATTATTTCAGCATTAGTTTTCCATATACTTGAGGGTTTTTTGTGTGATATAGATGACAGTGCCTCGGCGGCGAGCAGTATGGAGGTGACGGACCGGATCGCCTCTCTGGAGCAGCGGGTTCAGATGCAGGAGGATGAGATTCAGCTGCTCAAGTCGGCACTGGCTGATGTGGTGAGGAGACTGAACATCTCAGAGGAGCAGCAGGCCATGCTCAGCAGGAAAGGACCAACCAAAGGTACCACACAGACCCTCGGTCACCTCATTTGGTGGAAAGTCCTAGAGTTTCCAGATTACGTTATTTATTTCAGCTTTGCATTCTATCTCAGCTGCAACATGTTCAGTGATTTCTTTGAGCCTCACTGAAAAACAAATCTCTACAGAACCACCTGTGTGCCATTTCTTATTTTTCATCTCTATCCCATCCTATTGCTGTTAGAGGTGGAGTGGTTTGCGGAAAAAAATCGAACTGCAAACCCACGCCTCAGAGCATGCAAATATTAAGCTTTCTCTGAAGTATTGTGTTTAAATGGACAAATTCACACAAAATTATGTCAAAATGCCCGTCTTGGTAAGTATCGCAAGTGTCTTTCTCTTAAAGAAAACACAGCACTTTCTTAATATTAATCAAACAGCAACAACAAAGAAATCACTCACTGCGATTGAATAGCTTTTGTAACTTTAATAAAGATTAATCTTTAATTTATACAGTGAAATATGCAATGCTGTTTTACATTTCATTACTTTATTCAATTTCTGTACCTGAAAACGTCTCAGGTTACTTATGTAACCATGGTTCCCTGAGTAGGGAACGAGACACTGCGTCCTCTAGGGGTCGCTATGGGGAACGCCTCGTCGTGACCCGTGTCTGAAGCATACATTGAAAAAACACCAACTCA